TCTTGCCTGCCAAACCACTCTCTGTAGAGGTAAGATTTAGGCTGGGAATGGCATGAACAGGTGGCTTGAGATAGGTGGGGGCTTACTGAGTCTAGGAGGGTTAGCCTTTGGGAATTTCCTTCCCAGTTCTCTTGCCATGAAACCGAGGTCAAGAAGACTCTCGTCAAAGTGGTTTGGACCTGCTTAGAAGTGCTGTTAAACCTTCCCCCAAATGGGATATGTACACGTAGTTAATACTGCACTTGCGGTGTTGCTGTCATTGGGAAGTTTGGCCAGAGTCACCTGGATAACTTTCAGAAAAATACCTAAATCCTGCTCCTAGATGTTCCCTTATAGGAAGAATGGTACAAAATCTGGGCAGTAATGAGCTCTCCCCCTCCCACCCCAAGTCCCCCCTGATAATGTTGATGTGTGCCATCAGATGGAGAATCTTGAAGTTGAGGAATGACTTATTTCTCTTGTTAGTACTTCTAAACCATTAAAATGGTTGCATTCCAACAACATTAACATCTTAAACCATAACTCTTCCATTTTTGCTTTCATTGTAGGCTTCTGTGTTTTTCTTGGTCTTTCAACTTTAACCTGTTTTGAGGATGGGAGGATATGATGAGAGCCACTGTCTTAACAGAAGACCTCTAAGCCACCAGAATTAATGATTCTCTGATCGTTAGCAGGTCTGAATGTGAGCCCTAAGGTAGACACCACCTGATATTTTTGAAATAGGTTCCGAGTTCAGCTTTTCATACACAGTTGCATTTTCCACCCGTTCCTCCAGTGGGCGCCAGAGTTCAGAAACAATTGTGGGGCTGTTGGGCCGACTGGACTAGGAAAGTCCAGGAAAGACCTGGAAACTTTAGCCTTAAGGATTTGAGCTTTTATTTGTTGGAGGAACTGTCATATTCTTGTTCAGAGCTTCTTGTTCTTTCCTAGTGCTTTATTCACCTTTCAGCCTCTATCCAAAGGATAAAGAACAGTGTTTTCTTGTCAGGATAGTGGCCCTAGAACCCAAGTCCAGGGCCTAAGGCCGGGAACTTGAGTCTTTAGAGGAGTGAACCCTTAAATTCTTTTGCACACTTATCAGTGTTGACTGCATCTTCAAAACAGGGATTTGTGTGAATTATATGCACATACGATTTTATTAATATATACCTTATAAAATGTACCATCCAAAATGGAAGCTAAAAAGAATGAACAAAACAATGCAACTTAGGTTCTCTTTTTTCTGTACTCAGTGAGAGTTACTTTGGAAGCCACTGCTTTTGAAAATAGTTTTTCTTTAAAAAGGGATTTGGGGGAAGAACATAGAGATTGATCTTGGGGTGGTTTTGGCCACAGTATCTAACTCAAGTTGTTAATTTGAAGCCTTCAGGAGGAGTTGGTTATACAGGAAAAAGGCAGGACATGGCAGTCAGTGAGAGTTCCTTCTGTAGAAGGCTCACTGCCCTCTTTGCTGGGATTCTATGTAGAATGTGCGAGGCACAGTATCTGAGGATGACAGAGGGAGTAACGTGTGTCTTAAATCCCATTTCAGGAAGCTCGTCTTCTAAAGCAGACTGTGGTGCACAGTGTAAGGGAAGTTGGGCTACCATTGACTAATAGACTTAGCAGAGGTCCCGACTTGCCACCAAACTTCTCTACAGCATCTCCAGTCTGATCTGCAGTGAGCTGTTGGGAGGGAGGTGGAGAAAAGGACCTGGTTGAGGGTGTCCAGTATTCAGTAAGGAATTTGGTGGAAAAAATAAAGGAGGCAGGCATGGTTTTATCTGGACTCTTCTGAAACTCCTTGCCCATCACCCAGCCTAAGTTGCCATAGATTGAATTGAGTCCTGAGGGCCCACCTGGGGCCAAATCTTGCTCCTTGGCAACCCAGGTAGTATGACTTTGTTATCTACCTGGTAGCTATCATGTATTTGAAGCTCTAGGATACACCTAGGTGCTGTGAAGCCCCGATTCTAAAATTGTTTTTGAACTTAATAGTTGCTTAATAAATTAATGTACATGCAGTCAAGCCATTCCATAGTAGAAAAAATTGACATACTGGGTTTACAGGGCTTGACAGAGACCTATATTTCACAGAATTAAATTCAGAGTTTAAAATAAGGCAACTGTCAAATAAATATGGCCACCGAATGGAAGACTAGAAGACAGCTGCCCTCGTATTACACATAAATGTTTGCCCACTGCCTGCCAGGCATTGCTGTCTTCCGGTGCTGAGGCTAAGTGTGTGTAGTATACTTAATCTGAGGTAAAGTTTGACCTTTCACTTCCCTAAATGTCAGGTAGTCATAACTTGACCTGACAAGTTATGTTGAGATTTGGAAAATATCTAGTCAGCAGTTCTTTACTTAAGGTATTTTTCTTTCCATTCTGAATGTACTATATACTTAGTTAAAAATAATTAGAAGAGTAGAAAGGAATCAGTCATCTTCCTACTGCAGAGAAAACCACCATGAATATGCTTCCCGCATGATTTCCCAATGTGTGGTGTGGGTGCCTTTTTTGTGAAGAGGATGCTTAGCCAGAGTCACTATGGGAGGAAGGAGACAGTACAGGTGGGTGACTTGGCACAAGAGGTAGCATCTGGGCTGTGAGATTGGAAATGCCTCTTTCTCTGTTGAAGCCAGTCCCAATGTGATGAAGGCTAGACGAAGGCAAAACCCACTGACACCCTGAACGGCGCCCCCCACCCCGGGTGGGACAAGTGTGACATTCTTCCAGGAATCTCCCAACTGTCTTAATGTTAATACCTTGCTAGAGGGGGAAACAACCTTAACTTGACAATGGCAAGGCTATCTTGCAGGTGTCATATAGGTTGGTCCTCTTTTTAGTATATGAAAGTTCTTTTGAAACCTCCCGTTTTCCTTACTTCCCCCAATCCCTGAGTATATAATCACCACTCCTCACCACTCCTCAAGGTCCTGATGCAGCACCTCTTTCTGTCCATGGGTCCTGTCCCTGTGCTTTAATAAGCCACCATTCTGCACTAAAGACGTCTCAAGAATTCATTCTTGGTTGTCCGTTGTGGACCTCACCCCACCTGTATTCCAAATCCACATCAAATGCGTGATGGGTCACAAGAGGTCGTCATAGAAGAACGTGAAAGCAGTTTTGGAGGGAGCAAAATGGAGTCTCTCATGTCAGGCAACCTATGTCAAGCAATGACCCAAGCAAGCAGTTAAGGTACCACAGCTTGGAGATACTGCCGGGACCAATGTCAGCTGACACCCAGAACTGATAATGAGTAGAACCGGAGAAGGTCTGCAGAGACCCCAAGCCCATAAAATCTCTTTTAAAAGGGAAGGATTTGGGCAGCGAGCTATCAGACTCTTCAGGCATGACCCCTCTATGTCTGACCACTTGAAAAAGGCAACTATTGGGGCGCCTGGGTGGCTCAGTGGGTTAAATCATCTGCCTTCGGCTCAGGTCATGGTCTAGGGGTCCTGGGATTGAGCCCTGGATTCAGTGGGATTGAGATCGGGGGCTCTGCTCGGGGGGGGAGCCTGCTTCCCCCTGCTCTCTGCTTGCCTCTGCCTACTTGTGATCTCTCTGTCAAGTAAATTAAAAAAAAAAAAATCTTAAAAAATCAAAAAGGCTCTGCCCGATGGATCTCCGAAGGGAACTGAGATCCTTCCCGGCTTGAACATAAGAAGCAGTAAGTGCTGAGAGCTAGCCCGGACCAGACCAAGGCCTTATCTCAACTGCGCTCCCACAGACCGACTTTGTGTGGGGTTCCTTAACTTCCCACACGGTTCTCTCACCTTGCTTGTTGTGCGGCTTGTCTTCTGTCCTGCTTTGTGTGCTATGGAAGAAGCCAAGTTTAATCACATGGTGAATTGTCCTTGAGTTGGAATCCCGAACCTGCCTTATGGTTGTGGTTTAACTTTGCTCTGTGATTGAGTAAAGCTGACATTGTGGAAAGACACAACTCGTGTGTGCACCTTCATAGTGTGCTCACGACAAGTTTCTTCTGGTGTTACCAGTCATGTTGGAGTAACCCTTTTGCCTAGTGGGAACGTGTGAGTACCTTGGTTAGGCCCAGGAGAGCCAGTGAACTAAGATCTTGCCCTGCAAGGTAACCTTTCCCTCACCTCTGTTTAAACTTGCCTTTTCTTTCCCTGTCATGACAATAGAGTTGAAGCATGCCCTAGGTTTCGTTCTCACCATTCTTGTGTCTTTTGGGGAAGAGATGTAACTTAATAATAAACAACTTCTTCTGTAATAAACAACATCACGCGTTAGATACTGTGGGAACCATTGGGTAATTTCCCTTATTGGAGAAATTAGAAAATAAGCTCCAAGGGAAGTCTAGAACAAACTCTGCGGTGAAAGCGGTGTTTCTTCACCCCCACCCCAATCCGGTGCAGAGCAATCCTTTCATCAAATAGAATAAGAGCAAATTACTAGAAAAATTAAAAGAAAAACATATTCAAGCATAAATTTTGGATTCACTAGGCTTAAAATTACTGTGAAATTGCTATAAAATTCCTAAGTGCATTTTCTCATTTTGCAGTTACTACGCTAGATTGCAGACCACATGTTGAGTTTTGTAAGATGTAGGGAATGGATGAAAATATAAGTTGAGGGGTAGCCTGAGAATAATATACTCATCAGCTGTTAAAGCTATAAAAGAAGACAAATACAATTTTATTCCTTTGCTGCTTTAACAGAAGAGGAAATGGAGGTGATGTAACTTCCCTAAGGTTACGGGAGTAGTTAAGAGCAAAGTGAGGACTAGTCTAGTGATTTTCAGTTTAGTGCACTCTGTACTTGGGTCACATGACTCCTTAATCTTTGCGTATACCAAAGGTCAAAGCTGAGCTATAAAGTAGCATATTTTCTTCTATTTTTAAATTTTGGAGGTCGACATACATTCCTGATAAAAGCTGGTTTCTGGATGGTGTATGTGTAGATTCGATTATTCTGTCAACTGAAAATGCACCATTGACTCCTTGGAATTGGGAAATGTCTCGCATCTGATATGTCTTGTTTCTGGCATTTAGGTTTTCCTAGGACCTTAGTTCAGGCTGAAGCCCTGGACAAAATCTGCGAGCTGGATCTAGTGATAACTTTGAACATTCCATTTGAAACGCTCAAAGATCGTCTCAGCCGACGTTGGATCCACCCCGCTAGTGGAAGGGTATATAACCTGGACTTCAATCCACCCCATGTACACGTAAGAATACACAAAGCATTTTTACGGGCTGACGAGAAAGAGGTGAAACATTTCAGTTGTAAAGTGTAGGAAGGAAACGAATAGATTATTCGAAAAAGCAAATCTGCATGGCCAAAAGTGTTTGAACTCTCTCTGTTCACTAGGTCAAGGAATGCAAATTAAATTTATAACACCTATTGCTGGTGGGACCTAGAAAAAATGGCATGCTCATCTTTATTAGGCATATAAAGTATTAATAGTGTTTTTAAAAAACAACCTCGCAATATACATGAACATTTTAAAATATACATACTTGACTCAACCCACCACGGGGAGTATAGGTTATGGCAATGAAAGCACCAGCAGGTAAGGTCAAGGACACAGTGATGCTTATTTCAGTGTTGGTTTTGGAGAAAAGATCTGAAAACAAATGAATATTCATTTATAGGGGATGACTAAATAAACTAGAGATTATGTACATCTTGCAATATTACATACTCAGTAAAAAGAAGGACTTTGTGTGCTATCCCGTTTGACCTATAGAAATACTTCCTCTGGGTCCTGTTGAATATGAAAGGCAAATAGCACTGTGATTCCATTTTTGTAAAACAGTGACCCTCCTCTACACATTATCTGTATGCGTGTGTATATGTACTCTCTAGTTTCGTAAGAGCAGGGATAAATGGTGAGGGTTGGGACTGAATAAAGACTTTGGGTCAGAGTGGATGGGGTCATGGGAGTGACGGTAGTGAGGGTTTAAAGGGACTGGGAGGACGAGAGGAATAAACAGGTCCAAAAGTAACACGTGTTTACATGAAATAAACATATGTAAAGGTATATGTTTAAAGAAACTTTTTAAATTAACACACTCATTTAAAGAATTATTCTTGGGGCGCCTGGGTGGCTCAGTGGGTTAAAGCCGCTGCCTTCGGCTCGGGTCATGATCCCAGGATCCTGGGATCGAGCCCCGCATCAGGCTCTCTGCTCAGCAGGGAGCCTGCTTCCCTTCCTCTCTCTCTGCCTGCCTCTCTGCCTACTTGTGATCTCTGTCTGTCAAATAAATAAATAAAATCTTTAAAAAAAAAAAAAAAAGAATTATTCTTTCTGGTAAAGACATGAATTAGTTCAGTGGGATTCTTACCTCCCGGTTACTGGGTGTTAGGTAGAATTATTTGTAGCCATCCAGATATGGAAGGGTTGGCAGTTGCATCTTTTTGGGTTAATGTGTATGGGATAGGTAGGTCTGCATATAGATAGAGTCAATAATTACTACAGAAAACCAACTTCAAGAGGGTAAGGACACCTTCCCAGCTCCTTAGTGCCATGGTTTTGGTGACGTTTCAGTGAGTCTTGCTCCTTTGGGCAAAGTACTAGTTGCCATTTGAAGTCTTCTTTTTAAAAGGTAATGAATACTTTTGGAATTTCTTTATTAGGTCCCTTCCTCCTTTCCCTCTCAAGAAGCTAGTACAGGGGAAGAAATGGATGGAGAGGAGAAGAGGGTTCTGGATATGCCTTGACGTTCCACAAGAAATGCTTCACATTTTAGTCCTGCCTAGACCTGCTGAAGCAGAGATTCTCGTCAAGTCAGAGAACCTTTAACACTGAGTTGCTTTCCAAAGACTGGAATACCTAAAAGAATACCCACAGTTAGAGTGCTCCCTCCAAAGACAGGTGAAAATGCTAGTCTGGGCCACCTCTCCCAGCCACTGTGGCCAAGCTCTCCCAGAAGGAGAGATGCTGTCACCCTAGCACTAATTCTGTTCTTTGTAGAAGCAGTGGCTGTATTTATGGGTGCCCTGCGGTCCTGGAAATGACTCTTCTGAGCTTTGCAGCTCTAAGTTAAATAAAGGAGAAGAGAATAAAGAAGATGTACAGCCATCTCCCACCCCCATCTTGCCTCTTGAGTCAGGGTAACAAGCATGGAATACACGTGATGATTACAGGGCTCACCAATAACTCATCAGTGCAGGTTATGGACCCAAGGCCCTGAGCTGTAATGGAATTTTAGTGCATTTCAGATTTATAGCTGCTTTCTGATTATCCAGTTGAGCTGCCTGAGCCTTTTGGTTCTGTTCTAGCCTGCCGTTTGACAGATTATTCCTTGTGACTGTCTCCCTGGAGGGTAATAGCCATGAACATGGGAGACACTCACATGTCCATGTTGTTACTTGTAAGTAGGTATGTTTCTTGGGGAAGTTTAAAATAAATCAGAAATCAGGTTTTCTAAATTGCAGTTCTTTAGTTCTCAGAAAATTTTGCCTGATTGTTAACAGGTAGAGACACCATGCCCATTTTAATCTATTTCTAAGTAAGTCATTATGCAATCTAGGAAAATAACCTGAGTCAGATTAATCTCAGGAAACAATCTGAAAGTTAGCAGAGGCAAGACTGAGATACCTTCTCCCAGATCAGTGTTCTCCTAAGTAAACCAGTTGGTTCTTGAGACATTGTCTTTTTTTTTTTTTTTTGGAAGATTTTCTTTACTTTAAAGAGAGAGAGAGAGAGATCTCAAGCAGACATCATGCTGAACATGGAGCCCTATGGGGGGCTCAATCTTACGACCCTAAGACCATGACCTGAGCCGAAATCAAGAGTTGGATGCTTAACCAACGGAGCCACCTGGGTGTCCTAGACGTTTTATTTTCCATATTAACAGTTCAAACTTTAGAAAGCAAGGCGGTTTCGGAAATGTTTAGAGGGCCAGAGTGATGTTGTTTAAAGGTGGTTTGTGGTTGAGGGAGGCAGCATGGAGTTTCAAACTGTAAACTGAAAGTATCATTTTTCAGTGGCACTGAAATGTGTTTGGAAAGATCTGAGAATTTAATACAGATTCCTTGTCAGCTCTCACGAAGTAAGGTTAACATGACTATTAAGAGTGTTACCTCGGGGCGCCTGGGTGGCTCAGTGGATTAAAGCCTCTGCCTTCGGCTCAGGTCATGGTCCCAGGGTCCTGGGATCAAGCCCCACATCGGGCTCTCTGCTCGGCAGGGAGCCTGCTTCCACCTCTCTCTCTGCCTGCCTCTCTGCCTACTTGTGATCTCTGCCTGTCAAATAAATAAATAGAATCTTTAAAAAAAAAAAAAAAAAGAGTGTTACCTCTTCTCCAATTACTTCGCTGTTAACTGTTGCCACTCAGGCCTGGTTCATCATGCAGTGGGAGTCCAGAGTAAGTACACGGATTTTGCACAGGAAGGTTTTTAATCTTTGGAATGGCTCGGGTGTTGGCCATATTAACTGGTTTCTCTGGTATTTATAGGGGGTTGATGACATCACAGGTGAACCGTTAGTCCAGCAGGAGGACGATAAACCTGAAGCTGTGGCGGCCAGGCTAAGACAGTACAAGGATGTGGCAAAGCCAGTCATTGAATTATACAAGTGAGTGTGCTTCACTGTTTTCCCAGCAGACGCTCAGTCAGAACCACGTGGCACTCAGTGGGAAGGACATAGGGCTGAGGCGGGGTTGTGTGCCTTTAACCTAGACAGAACCCTAATGGCCCAGTTCCTCCCTGGGTGTCAGAGGAAATGCTGGAGTTGCACGTGGGAGATACAGCCCAGTTCTTTTATGCTGAAATTCTTGTAATACAAGGACCGAAACCCAATCATCTCTATCAGGTTGTAAAATTACGTCTAGGATTATTTTCATTTTCCTTTTCAAGGAGCTGAACTAGGGGGTTATATTTTGACACTGCCACCTGTAAATATCTCAGTGGGATAGAGGATGAGAAGGGACCTTTTGCCTAGATGCAGCTAGAGGGAATTTAACCCAAAAAGCAAACACTGTAAGCTGCAGATGGCAAAGTGAGATGGCTGCAGGGGCCAGGGAGCCGTTGGAAGTGAGTGTCAGACCTGGTGGGGGATGTGCTCATCTGGGCAGTGCAGTGATAGTGCCCGTGCCGCTCCAGTTATCCCACAGGGGCACTCAGGCCCAGAGTGGCCAGTGAGCCCTGTGTTTCAAGAGAAGCAGAAATCTGGCTGTGAGTAGGGGTGGGGGATATCCCAGTTTGTATCTTGGCAACAAATAACATTCTTAACAGCATGCATACTGAACAAAACCCATTTGCAGACTGCGTTCAGGACAGCTGTCTGCAGCCACTAGTGGAATCAGTTTTTGACCTTTTAGCTCCCAAATAATTTAGCAAGCCTTTAGATCAGAAGTTATGATCATGTCATCATGATACGTCCTGTGTTTCACGCTCTACTGTAAGTAATAAGGGTTTTCCAGTACCCCAGTTTGTCAGTGGTTTGTCTTTTGAAAAGTGTATCCTGAGGCAGATTTGGGATTGTCCATATAATGTTATTCTTTGATATATATATTTTTTAAGATTTTATTTTTTTGAGAGAGAGCGCACGCACAAGCAGGGGGAGCAGCAGGCAGAGGGAGAAGCAGGCTCCTCAGTGAGCAGGGAGCCCAATCCGGGGCTCGAGCCCAGGACCCCGGCATCATGACCTGAGCTGAGGGTAGATGTTGAACGACTGAGCCACCCAGGGGCCCCTCTTTGATATGTTTTAAACAGGAGAAGAAGAGGAGGCATCACGGCAGGCAGGCCGGAACCGTAAAAGCTGTGGTTTTACTTAGGTACACCGAGTGCAGAGGTTGGCACTTAGTGGTGGGTGATAGGCCACGAGGTCGTGCTGGCTTTATGCCCAGGATCTTCGCCCGCCCTCATGTCATGTTAGAGGAAGCCAAAAAGGCCTTCGTGTGTTGGATTTTGTTTTTCAGGAGCCGAGGAGTACTTCACCAATTTTCCGGGACGGAGACTAACAAAATCTGGCCCTACGTTTACATGCTTTTCTCGAACAAGATCACGCCTATTCAGTCCAAAGAAGCATACTGAGCCTGCCCGGCGGAAGAACCAGGAAAATGTCGTCCGTTCAGTTGTGTGTGTAGTATCGGTGCCGTGTCCAAGGTAGAAGCTAGTGGGGATAGCTCACAGCGTCTTTTCTAGTTTAAATGGTGAACTGAAATGAAAACGAATGAGTAGAAAGCGTTCCTGAAGTGGCTGCTCTATGCCTTTCTCGAGAAGGGTCACCGACACATGCGTACGAAGCCTCTGCACGTCTCAAGCCCTTCCCAAGAAAATAAGCCCAGGCCGGGCTTCTGGCGGCGTCTAACCCCAACCTCTAGCTGATCTCTGGCCCTCATGTTGTTGCCGTAGTAGCCTTTTTGTGCGTGACAGTGTTGGCCTCTGGTGCTCTCCGTCTCCTGAAGGCTGTTGAACCACAGCGCCAGGCCGCCTTGTCCCGAGATTTCTGGTATGTGCCCTTCCTGGTGACTGCGCGCTTGAAGCCATTTGCTTTTTGTGGTTGCTTCCCTGGCCTTGAGTGACTGTCCACGATTTATTTTTCCTGTTAGGAGTGATATCTTTTCTGCATCCATGCTCCATAGAATCTGTTCTTTGCAGACATCCCTGGAATGAAAGGATTTGGCTTCCACTCTTTTTATTAGACTGTATATATTTTTTTAACCTCTGTTTTCTCCCAAGGCTATGAAGCAATACAGACAGTTACTGCTTTGATCCCTCTCAGACCTGTTTCTAAGAGCTGAGAGCGAAGGGAGGCTGTCAGATCGCTTCCCGCACCAGGAACTGGGCTCTGCAGAGGGCCTCCTTAACGCTGCTGGGCTGACTCTCATGGGTTGACACTGCCCTTTTTTCTTTCATTGTGAAAAAATAAAATCCTCAGAGTCTTTGGGAGTCTTCAAAAAAATGGGAGATGCTTACCTACATAAATGTTAAAGGATCGTATCTTGTGTATAGAAGTAATAAGGCCACATGAAATTACTGCACTAAAAGAATAGTTTAGTTTTTTCGTCAAGACAAAAAAAAAATATATTTTGAAATGCTGCTAAATATTGATGCTGACAGTGTTTTTCTCCTGTGAGTGACCCAAACATATTATAAATAGTGATAAAGGGAATGGAGCCTATGGGTAGAGGAGAATGTTGCACTAGCTGGGCCCAGAACTGAGTAGAACAGCTTTATGATTATGGGAAAACAAATTCTTAACTTTTTTTTCTGTTCCAAAGATGCTTTCTGTGGGATGGCCATTAAGTCTAGAAATAAAAATAATACAGTTTTGTCATTCTTTATAATGTACTATCAATAAACCATTTATTAAAGATTTGCCCGGTTTCCAGACTTGGTGGCCACCTAATCCTCTGGGAAGGACAATGAAATTTATTCCTGTTGCCTTAAAAATAAATACCCTCTTTGTGATTGTCCCTGAAGAAGGTCCTTTGCTATTCCTGGGAGTGACTTCTGTCTAACTCTTCATTCTGGAGGGAAAAAAACCTACCCGTTTCTGCACACCACTTGTGTTGCACCGTATTATTTATTTTCTGAAGATGTCCCAGCAGATCCCTGTCAGTCCCTGGCACCCGTGTTGCAGATGGTAATGACTGCACCTTCCGTCCAGATACTGCCCCGCTCTTGCCGGTTCTTCTCCCTCTCTTCCTTCATGTGACTATTCTTTGACTGCCTTAGTGGAAACATGGACTGGTCTCCTTCTCATTCTCTGAATCACCTCACTGTGTTACTTTTTAGGTTTATGCCCTGGAAATGCCCAGTTCAGGTCTCTGAAACATCAGCACCTGATACAGACTCTGAGTACTTTCGAAGAGCCACGTGTGAATGCCAGTTGGTGGGATCAGGGTGAAAAGATAAGGGCAAGGCTCAGGTGTCCTGGTGAACCAGGCATAGAAAAAACAAGTCTGAAATGAGGAAAATGGCACAACTTAGACTACTGTTGCCATGGAGACCATTTCCACAAACTAGGGAAAGTAGAGAGTTAAGGTTATTAGGTGGACAGTTCAAGAAAAGAAAGTGTGTGCCCTTCTAGAAGCAGACAGAGCTTCACAACTCTACCTTTAGTTCCCTTTTGAACAGAATCCCTTTGGAGTTTTCAAGAGAGGTACGGGGAATGGCTGGCTGGTCCCTGGTGGCATGCTGTCGTTCTCCATCCTTCCCTCCTCTCTCCGGCAAAATAGACAGTTGTGGGCAGCGTTGGAGCCTCTGGTTGTCTCAGTGCGTTTTCTGTTTCTGGCGTGGTCCAGCAATTGAGGGTCCTGTACTTGGCGAGACCAAAAAACAGACAAACACCTTTTCCGTGGTCTTTGAAAGATGATACTTATTTCATGCTTAGTGGCCTAAAATGTCTATTTCTGATTTTCTTCAGCCAGCTCTCTAGTTTTTCGTCCAATAATTTTGTAAAAAATTAAAATCTTCTTGCAGGTATTTTGACAAAAGCAAAAAGGACATCTTTTTTTGGTTTTCCTTCTGCTGACACACACATGGTTCCTTCAGAATTACGCAAAAAGGAAGTAGTCGGGTTGTCTCTAAGATTCCTACCTGTCCTCATATCCTGTGATTCTAGTCAGCTGTGGATTCATTTTGTTTTCTATTACCTGAACAGGCTTTCCCCTTAACTTAGAACTTGGAAACATTGCCATATTTAATAACCCTCTTAACACCAAGACAGACATAAAATAAGTACCATTTACTGAAGGCCTTTCAGGTGCTAGGTGTAGTTCTAGGACCTTAGCAAACATCTCATTTAATCTTTCAAGCATCCTTTGAGATGGGCATGGTGCCATGTTTATAAACAAAGAAGGCAGGGGTCGGAGATGTGAAGCATCTTGGCTGGGCTCTTGCTGCCGATAACCAGTGCAGCCGGGACTCACGTGCAGGCTCCCCCGGCTCTGCAGCCTGAGTTGGCTCCGGATGTTTACTCCGTCCTATCCCAGCCAAGCCAGGGTGCTGAGTCTGCTTGATTCTGCTAGCTTTTGCAAGTGGCCTCACACTGAAGTAGCTAACGTGACGTTCAGCTCCGTATGTGACTGATTTCTTTTTTCCCCTTTGCTGAAGCAAAGGGAGCTGCTAGAGGAAGGTCCGAGGCTTTCATATTTTATAACTCGTTTATACTCGTTTATAAAGTGAACGGCTGTTGAAGAAGGCTTGGGTCCAGGCTAATCTGTGGGTCCAGGCTAATCTGTGGAGGAGTCAGGTTCATGTCCCTCACCTACCATTTTGGTGTCCATGGGGTTATACCCTGGAGGGGACCTTTACCCTTGAGCCACCCCCAGCTGTCGTGTTCTCTGTAGACCTGGGCTGCTGGAAGCTCTCCCGATGCTACTCACTTTTCTTCCCTGTTACTGGAACAAGTCACTCCCTTATTCATACCCCGAGTAAGGCTCTGGGGATAAACTGATCCTACCTGAAGTGCTGGCGCATGAACGGAAGGTGATTGAGCCACTGACATAGAGCCACCCTGGATTTTTGTACTGTCTTCCCTATATTACATTCCACACCAACCTGATGCTGAATGCCACATTCACACCTTTGCTTGCCATCTGCTGTGCTGGCTCTGTTTGGCATACACCATTCTGGCATTAACCAGGGGAGACGGCTTCCTGTCTTCCCTGCCATCCTCCAGCGGCCACGCTCGCAAGAGCTCCAGCCCCAGCTGTGCCCCTCTTTGGTAGGGAAGGAAAAAGGTAAGGAGAGTCACGGGTGAGGGGGATTCTTGGAACAGGTACTGCCATGGCTTCTTCCACCCTTTAAATTGTTGTTGAGACAGGATAGTTGTAGATAGAAAGGTGCCTGTGTGCAATCATAGATAGGATTGTAGAAAATTCGGCTGTCAACTGATTTCAGTATTTCACTGTAGCTGTCGAACTGACAGCTGAACTGTCACTGAACTGTCGAACTGACTAAACACCTTGCCAGCTTCTGCTGGAGGTTGGCTTAAATCATAAAGGCCACAAATTTCTGAATGTGTGAAGACATAGCTGTTCTTAGTAGTTACTCTTGAGTGGCACTTCTGCTAAGTACGTTATATGCATTGTCTAATTAAATTCTCAGCAATTACCCTACATGACAGATACTCAGTTATCCTGCCTCCTTATGTAAAAACTGAAGTCATCCTGTTTACTTAAACTTGTGTTTTTCATGTACCTATAGGGATGAATCAGGAAATTCAAAAGGGCCCTTTGTGTACCTTTTTCTCCTTTGAGCACCCCATTCTAAAATGGGTAAAACAGTGTTACTTGTTCCTGGAATCTTTGCCTTTGGCACCCTGGGTCCTGGTGGTAGTCGCACACTGTATAAGCAGAGAGCACCCATCTCATTCGCGTTCTGCTGGATTGCAGGATCTCGGGAGACATTCGTATCTACCTGGTGAATTTCACGTATTACCTTTTATTTAAAAGTATCGTTTCTTGCCACAGCAAATTTTGCCACAGATGCAGTTCATAAGGCCAAGTTGTGTTCTTGATATGAATTGCTTTCCTTTCAGTTCCCCTGCATTTTTAGTAACTCTCTTATCCTATGTAGTGTCTCAAAAGAAGAATCTAGCAGTGGAGACCTTTTTTTTTTTAAACGGGAGTGTGGTCTGATCCTAAGTTATCATCCCTTTCCACCTATAACTGATCTAGTCTGGTTTCTAGATGAAAAGTGTGCAAGACCCAGATGTCGGGAAACCATGAAGCCGCATTTCAGCTGTGAAGAGAGATCTGCTTCCTGCAGCTGTTGAGACGAACTCCCATGACAGTTGTTCCTACACGCCCTTCCTTATCTTTTTTTCAACAAGTTGCACAAGTCTTGCCAAAATAAATGCCATTATCTGCGTGCTTCAGGGAATCCCCCCAGTTGGATCAGTGTGTGTGGGTCTGTGTGTGGAGGAGGGAGAGGTAGGGAGAGAGGGAGATGGAGAGATGGCAAACACCTCCAAAAGGAGGAGAACCCTGGGATGGCATGTGTGTGCGTTCCTTCCTGGTAATTATCGGGCTATTCCAGGAAACAGCATCATTCTGTGGACATAAAAGGTTTCCTCTTTAAAACTTCGCCGAGGAGCGTTGCACCTTGAGATTCTGCCTGGGGTTGGTGTGTGTCTAATTCCATTTCATAAAACCTTTCTTCGTTTTGAAACTGGCTGTAAAGTCGGAAATGTACTAAATAAACTGTTTTGTATTTAATTTAGAGAAGAGTAAAGGGAAGAAAAAAAACCTCAGTGCTTATGTAAGCTTCAAGGTGTTAGGGCTCAGAGGGCTTTTCTAGTTTTATGAGAATTTGTACTACTGATTTTTATATATCCCTGTTTCTGAGATGAACAGATCTCTGGGGAAATTGTTGCATTACAATGGCGTTTCACTGTGACTCCTCTGAAGCTCGTATCTGTTCTCTAAGCCAATGACAACGTGTCGCTTCGGTTTACTGTCCTGTGAAAAGTCCGCTCCAGTTTCCCAGAAGTTGTGTGTTTACGATGAGTCACTGCATCTCCTCAGTGCGAAAGCTGTCAGCCCTCCTGATTTGGGTGTATGCGCTTAATTCAAAGTATTTAGACCTGTAGTCTAATCTGTACATGCTCTCCTAACTGTTAAATTGTGTTACTGACTATTTTTATTATCTTGCTTGAAGATTGATTCCTCCTTTTTAATTTGAGAGAAATAAAGTTTTTTTTTCTGCTTATAACTAGTGAATTTAATATTTGTGTAGCTTTTTACACTTGAGAGTATACATCTTCAGAGATCTTCTTTATGCCATTCTGCAACCACTTCATCATCAACGGTGTTATCTTCATTTGGCAGATGAGGAGAATAGAGAACACCGTGTCGCCTGCCTGAGGTGACAGTTGGTGGCAGAGCAAGATCATGAGCGTAACCCTGAGACCCCACTCTCATTTTCTTTATTGCAACACCACG